GGCAAGCATATGCATGCATGCTCCGTTTGCGTAAGTGGAGTGCACGCTCGCCCGCTTGCATAAATGGAGCTGTGTACGCGCTTGCCCACCGTTCGCACGGAACCACCCACTCTCCTCCCCCGCTGGCCTGCAAAGCCAGAAAGGTGAGGAACTCTGATCTACAGGATTAACAGTGCTGTATACACCTCCAGGTTTTGTCTTAGCCTTTTCCCTCTTCAGGTGGTCTTGGTCTGAACGCTCCTTCCAATATATTTTGCTATACCAACCAAACCATTTTTAGGGATGGTGTAAGGCAAGTTAATATTCATGAAATCATTTTGATTATTTGTATAAAAAGTCAGATGCACATTTCCCCCATGCACCTAGGCCCTCTAAATTAAGCAGCGCTGGAATTTAAACTTGAAGGCTAGAGTGAATAGCGTTATTCTGCATATACCATATACCACCAGGGAGATTTTGGGCAAGATTACCAGATAAGATTTTTAATTGATACTCATGATTAAATTGGAATGAAAACTTCAAGAAGGTTATGAGAGCAAAACCCCTCAATAGAATTGGCAAAGATGCATCCATCCTATTTCATTAATGAAGGCTAGCTCATCAGGATCTTGACCCTCAAAGCTGGCACAAAGCTTTCTTTATTCAGCTTCCACTATTTGGTTCTTCACTGGGCTCTACCAACTGGCTCTTCAAGAGTTGAGAACATGTAAGCTATTCATACTCTTCCCTCATGGTGATCCTGCTCTCCCATCAATATACTTAAAAGGAACAGTTAACAGAAACAATGACTTCAGCCCTTCAATTCCCATAAATGTTTGTAGAACTTGTAGAGCAGGGGTCTTCAAACTTTGCCCTTTTATGACTTGTGGACTTCAACTCCCAGAATTTCTCAGCCAGGCACACTGGCTGAGGAATTCTGGGAGTTGAAGTCCACAAGTCATAAAAGGGCAAAGTTTGAAGACCCCTGTTGTAGAGCTCGTAGAACTTGTAGTAGCTTGTTTGTAGAGTCACCATTTTACCAGCTACAAAACACACTAGGACAGGCATGTC